AGTTTGAAACCTTGAGAACATTGCTTCTATAGATTCACTTTCTTCTACTTTGAAGGCTTCATATTTCTGGACGAGAGCCAGGGCTTTAGACTCCTTCGCTTGAGCGTTTCCTTCATGAGTCATTTTAAGAGACTCAAATATATCATGTCCTGTATCTCTATTTGTTATTTTTTCATATTCCATTTTAGAGATAGCATTTAGAAAAATATTTCTAGCTCTATGATGATTTTTGAAATCAGCTTTTTGTTGTCTATCCATATTTTTTCTATCAATCTTGTTTCCTTCTGAGTCTGTAGGATGTGTGTAACCATCCAAAACTATATCCCATAAATCACTATCATGACCTAGAAAGAAACTTTCTAGTCTATCTTTCCAATATTCAAAATCTTCTCCATCAAATACAGGAGGCTTGTTATAACTATTGTTGTTTTGTTCAGTAGCCATTTGTGTTTTCTTCTGGATCTTTTCCTGACACGGTTAAGTGTTGTGCTCAGAACCAGGCTCTGATACCAATTGAAGGGTGAGAAAACACTTAGAAAGGGGGGAGGGGTTGAATAAGTTTCTCTTTTTCTTTTTCTTAAAGGCTCAACAATAATGGAAAGACAAGGTTATTTTTATCCTGGTTCGTTTGAACTCAAACTACTCCACTCCACCCGCCAAGGTGATTTCGCCTTTCTCAACAAGGACTTAATTTAATATAATCAACTGATTACAATCACACGACAACTGTTGTGACTAACAATGCACAAGTAATCTTACAAGTGACTCACACCACTAAGACTTAAACTAGTCCTAGTCTACTTGAGAAATCTGACCAAACTTGGTCTCCCAAGGAACAATTACAAGAGTTAAATTTTTACAGATAGTGAAACAAAGTTTGCTTCTAAGAAAGATATATCACAACTATGATTTTTCACTAAAAATAGTATTGCACAAAGTGTATGAAAAAATGATTTGTGAGTCCAAAATATTTTCACGCAGTTCTTGCTTCTTTTGAAATTGATGAGTAGATGGCTTGCAATTAATGTTCTTCTATATATAGTAAGAACAAAATGATCGTTGCTGCCTTCAAATGTGGAGAGCATTAAATGTTTGCGTGTTTCCTTGCACTATTCCATTTTCCAATGAACTAGTGTAGACACTTGAGTGCATGTAGCCGTCTTTGCATTAAATGAGCAAACGGAACTTGTAAGAGCATGTTTCCTGAAGCTTGACAAGACTTGTTAGCTTTTACATTCTTTCAGAACTAGCTTCACGTCTTGAATCAGAACATGATTGCATATCTTCTAAACAACGCTTGCTTGCTAAGTACTTCTGATCAGCGCTTGCTTTCAAAGAACTTCTGAAACATAGCTTACACAGAAACTTGCTAAGCGTTAGAAGATGTATTTAAATAGTTATCTTACCAGAGTCAGCATCAGCACTTGTGCTAAAACAAATAGTTCTTTCATTAAAGAACTTCTTCATTTATTTTCAGCTCAGCACATCAAAATGCTTATGTCAAAACATTATCTGAAACAATTAAATACGTTCATCAGAGTATCAATTATATAAAATATAATTTATTGTTATCATCAAAACTCTGAGATATGATCAGAACCAATCTTGTTCTAACAACATGTTGTATGATCTTGTAGGGAAGAAACTTATCTAAAGCCGCAATGTAATATTCATAGAAGACCAAACTATTTAAGACATTTATAAGGTAGATAAGATTACACCCAAGAAAGATATCAGTTTGTATAATGTTGATCTAGTTCTGGTACCTAATTATATCTAGATGTTATCGGTGGTGATGATCATAATGGTGATCCATATGATTATGTTGATGATCAACGACTTGGAGAAGAGGTAAATATTCCAACTAATGATGATGATGAAGGGGAAAATGATATGACACAGGATGTGAATCTTGGTGAAGCTCCAGAGTAATCTCAAGTTTAACTTATGAGGTCTATCAGGTAGAGACAACCTTCTACGAAGTATAATTCTGATGATTATGTGACCTTGACTGATGGGGGTGAACCCGAGTATTTTCAAGAGGCCATGGAAAGTGATGAAAATCAAAAGTGGTTAGATGCAATGAATGATGAGATGAAATCATTGCATGATAATCACACTTATGATTTCATGGAGTTGAATAAAGGTAAAAGGGCCTTGGAAAACATGTGGATTTATAGAGTTAAACATGAGAGAAATTCTAAGTCCCAAAGAGATAAATCCATATTGGTTGTGAAAGGTTTTCGTCAAAGAAAGTGTGTTGATTTTAATGAGATTTTTTTACCTGTTTTAAAGATCTCATCAATCAGAACCGTGTTAAGTTTAGCTGCTACTCTTAATTTAGAGGTTGAGAAAATGGATTTGAAAACGAGTTTCCTTCACAGTGATTTGGAGGAAGAGATCTACATGAAATAATCCAATTGTTTTCAAGTTAAATGCAAATAATATATTGTTTTTAGATTGAGAAAAAGTATATATGAGTTTAAGAAAGCTTCAAGGCAATGGTACAAGAAGTTTGAGTCTGTTATGTGTGATCAAGGATGTCGGAAGACTACTTTAGATCATTGTGTCTTTGTTATAAAATTTTCTAATGACGATTTTATTATCCTATTGTTATATGTTGATGATATGCTTATTGTAGAGAAAAATATTTCTAACATTAACAAGTTAAAGAAGTAGTCGGGAGAGTCATTTGCCATGAGTGACATGGGAGCAACTAAATAGATTCTTGGCATTAAAACCATGCATGAAAGAAAAGATAAGAAACTTTAGATGTTACAATAACATTATATCGAAAGAATGCTACAAATATTCCAAATGGAAAGTTATAAGGCGGTAAACACTCTTGTTGCTACTCAGTTTAAATTGAGTTTAAATCAAAGTCCTTCAAGTGAAGATGAGGCGTTTGATATGAAACATGTTCCTTATGCGCCTATTGTGGGTAGTTTGATGTATGCAATGATGTATACAAGAACATATATAACACATGTTATTGGTACAATCAGTAGATTTTTGTCAAATCCAGGTAGAGAGAATTGGGATATTGTAAAATGGATTTTAAGATATCTTCGAGGTACTACTTGTATGAGGATTTGCTTTAGAGGAGATAAGCCTACTCTAGTGGGATACTCTAACTATGACATGGCTAAAGACATTGATTCCAGAAAGTACACTTCAGGCTACATGATTAAATTTGCAGGGGAGTGTGGCTTGGCGGTCTAGATGCAAAAGTGTGTAGCATTGTTTACTACAGAGGATGAGTTCATTTCAATTACCGAAGCATGCAAAGAGTTACTTTGGTTGAAGAATTTTTGTAGAAGATTGGTTTTGTTCAAGACAAATATGTGTTATTTGTTGATAGTCAAAGTGTTATTCGTCTTGGTAAGAATCCGACTTTTCATAATAGGTCCAAACACATTGATGTGAGATATCATTGGATACATGATATTTTGGATGCTAAGTTGTTGGAGTTAGCTAAAGTTCGTACATATGATAATGGTTCTAATATGATGACTAAAGCGTTACCAAGAGGAAAATTTGAAGCTTGTTGTGATATTGTCAGTTTGGCGATTTTCTCCACATAGTTGTGAAGGGAGATTTGTTGGGCTTGGGGTCCCTTCTTATGTAGAGAAATACTCAAATATGAATAGCCTATTTGTCTCACTTATTTAAGTGTAGAGTGTCAATTTAGTGTTAAGAGAAATAGAGAGAAAATAAGGATTCAAAAAAGAGAAAAGAGGAGAGAAACTCATTCCCATTCTTTCTGCAGCAGTCTCACTAAATCGAAGATCCCGATTCGTTCACCTTCGTATCGAGCTGAAATTTGGAGGGAAGGTTTGCAGCACCTGTATCTAACTTTTGACCGTTGGGATCTTCAAAATAAGGTCTGAGGTGAGATATATTTACTTCGCACTGAAGCTTCAAATTTGGAAAAATTCTCAGATTTTTTATTTTTATTTGTAAGTTAGTTTGCTTTGTGATTTGCGGTTATTACCACTATTTTATGAATCACTTTAAGAATCTCTTGTATCCTCAATTGATTATTGTGAAGTTATTTTCTTTGATCTGGACGACTCGTAGTTTTTACTTTCATATTAAGGGGTTTTTTACGTTAAAAATATCGGTATTCTTTTATGCCTTTATTTGTTTGGTTTGTCATCTTATGTTTGTTGTTGATCCAAGGTTCTTACAAGTGAGGGAAATTATATATCTACTGCGTATTATTGTGTTATTTTGTCTTAATTTATCATCACTCTTCTTCTCTAATCTCTTCTCCCTTCTGTTCGTTCTTTTTAACTTCACTTATCTCTCATCTCCTTTATTATTTTTTATTATAACCTTTTTAATATTGTTTTATGCAATTATTTTATATTTATCATTTCATTTTTGTCTAATATGATTTTTACATATTAAATGAGAAGTTGTGATATAAATACAATAAGTTTTATTATTATTTAATAGTGTATGAATTACTAAATACAAAATTATGTTATCATCTATATTTGTATATATGTCTCAATAAAATTTTTGAAAAAACTCGAACCAACCGAATCGAACCAAACCATATTGATTTGATTTGGTTTGGTTCGGTTTTATTTTTAAAAGCCAACTGAATTAAAACTAAATTACATTTTTTTTTGTACTTCAGATGATTTTTTGTATCAAAATCGAATAAACCACACTGCGACCTGCGACCGTAGTTTTCATTTTCACCGTTATCTATATTTTGCAATCATGGACCGGTGGACCCTTTTGGTCCCAACGTTTCGTTAAGATATTTTATAAAATGTTTGAGAAGATGCCAAAACCATTATCAAAAATTATTTGTATACAATATGATTGAAAAAAATAATATTATAAGTTTATAACCACATTTTTTATATGATATCATTTTATCTTCTATGTTTTTTCTTCTTCAAAATATAATCCAAATCAAAACATCATCATCAAAAACATTTCACAGAAATTCTGAACTCCATCAAGGTTTATAAAACTTGATCATGGATAGAAGGTGCTGTAATTGTTACAAAGATTTGTTACCTTTGATGGTTCTTGTTGGCAATGAAAGCATCATTATTGGTGTATACACTTTGTTCAAAGCAGCTACTCTTCAAGGAATGAGTAAATATGTCTTTGTTGCTTATTCTTATACTGTCTCAACCATTCTCCTCCTTCCTCTCTATTTTTTCTATACGAGGTTAGTAATTGCAAAATATTATAGATTTCGGAGACTCTCTGTAAGTTAGTTAGTCACGAATCAACCGTAAAATAATTAGATGTTCTTTTTAATTACGGTTTAATAGTGAACAATTTTTAATATCTTATTTAAGTAGAACAACACAAGCTAAGGTTTGGGGAAGCATTGTATCAATATCAGGTGCATTTATAGTAACTTTCTACAAAGGAAAATCAATCATCATTGCACAGGATTCATCTTCCCCTCACCTTCAACAATCAAATCACATTCTCACTTCAGTTGATACAAATTGGGTCATTGGTGGCCTTCTGTTGGCACTATCCAATATACTACTCACGATATGGTTCGTTGCTCAGGTATATATTTTTTGTCGCAAAATATTGAAATATATAATCGATACTTCTTTTCACATTGAAAACATGTCTGATGTCTGATACGTATAAAACTGACACCAATACAAGACATGCTATTTTTTAAATTATTTTCAGTATCATGTTTCGTGTCTGCATTTGTGTCACAACTTCATAGAATGACGTTTCTTTCTAATTAATCGTAAATTTTGATATATATGTTTATTTTGAAGGTGGAAATCATGAAGGAGATTGAAGATGAACTAACTTTAGTCTTTGTTCACAACTTATTTACAACTATCTTAGCTTTAATTGTAGGTTTATTAGCTTAGACCAATAAAAGTCTTTGGAAATTAAGACTTGACATATCAATGATCTCTATTATCTGCACTGTAAGATAAATTACCTCTTAACTTAAAAAGTAATTTTATAGAGACTAAAAACATATTTGTCTGATTTTTTATGAAACGTAAGATATTGCAATTTTTTTATGATGTACTTATTGTTAGGGAATATTTGGAAAATTCTTGAGTACTGCAGTATATGCTTGGGCAATACACTTGAAGGGTCCTGTATATGCCACAATGTTCAAGCCACTTTCAATTGTTATTGCTGTTGTCATGGGAATTGTGTTCCTTGGTGATGCTCTTCATATTGGAAGGTGAGTATATATTGCTATTCAATAATATTATGCATGTTGAAATTTTCATATGCTTAACATTGTTATTTCATTTTGTAGTTTAATTGGAGCCACAGTAATATCAATTGGATTTTATGCTGTAATGTGGGGCAAAGCAGCTGAAGAAAATGAGGATGGTTTTGGTAGCCAGGAATCAGCAACTATTGATAGTGTTCCTCTTTTGCAAAGTTATAAGCCTGTAAAACTATAAAAAAGAAAATATGCAAGTAGATAAAGACATTAGTAGAAGACAAATTCAATTACATGATAAATATTTTTTGGACTGGGATCACTTTTGAAAAGTAGAGTTGATTGGTAACTATTCTCTCCCACAACTTTTTTTTTTATAAGCCACAAATATATATTAGATGATCTATGTTACAGAGATTCAACAAAATTTTATATTTAGTGTCAAAAGTCTAACACAACCCTCTTCTTTTATTCTGATTTAAGACCGGCTATGCATAGTATAACTGTTGAGTAAACTTTAACGTCATTAGTAATAAGTTTTCATATTAAATAAGGTAGTAGGAAGATTGAGAACCAATGTAATTTGGAAGGTCAAAAGTTAGTAAGTTATGATAGTTTTTATTAGTAGTAGTTATATTTTCTGAATTGTAAAAGTCATTGGATCTATATAAGGACCAAGAGTGTATTTTATTAAACAAGCAATATAGAAAAGTTTGTCTCTTTCTCAAAACAAAAGCAAATCGAAGTCTGCTTCTTTATAACAATTTGGCATCAGAGTTCATGGAAAACATGATGAATCAAATGTCGTTGCCACGACTAACGAAGTCAAATTATGAAAATTGGAGTATCCAAATGAAATCTCTTATTGGATATCTAGACGCGTGGGATGTGACCCATGAAAGGTTTGAAGAACCAACATAAGTTGGGGGATATACGGCAGCTCAAACGAGGGCGTTGAAAGAGACGCGATCGAAGGACAAAACGAAATTATACATGTTGTTCAGGACTGTAGATGAATCAGGATTCGAAAAAATTGCTGGTTCGACTACGTCGAAACAAGCGTGGGACACGTTAGAAAAAGTGTTCAAAGGAGAAGATCGAGTGAAGAAAGTTCGACTCCAAACTCTTCGTGGCGAATTGGAGAGGATACAGATGAAGGATATAGAAACTGTATCTGACTACATCACACGTGTGCAAAAGGTGGTGAATCAACTCACCAGAAATGGAGAGACACTAATTGATGCACGAGTTGTTGAAAAGATCTTGAGATCTTTAACAGACAAGTTTGAGAAAATTGTGTATGCAATAGAAGAGTCAAAGGACCTTTCGACGCTCTCAGTCGAAGAGCTCGCTGGTTCTCTCGAAACACATGAACAACGAAAGATGAAAAAGAAAGAAGAAGCAGTCGAAGAAGCAAATCAAACCAAGGAATCGAACAAAGACGAAAAGGTACTCTTTTCTCAAAAAATTCGAGGAAGAGGACGTGGACGTGGAGGTCGTGACTGTGGTCGAAGTGGTAGAGGTAGAAACTTCGAAAGGGGACAATCGAGCCAACAAAATTGGCGTGGCAGAGGACGTGGTCAAAGAGGTGGTCGTTCGAATCATTCCAACTTCGAATGCTACAAGTGTGGGAAGTATGGTCATTACGCGAAGGATTGCAACTCCTATAAATGTTACAACTGTGACAAAGTGAGACATCTTGCAAAAGACTGTCGAATCAAAAAGAAGATTGAAGAAACAACCAACCTAGCCTTGGAAGCTGAATCGAATGAAGGCTTTCTCCTGATGGCTTAAAATGAAATCAACACCAATAATGACAATGTTTGGTATCGTGACTCAGGAGCAAGTAATCACATGTGTGGTTACAAACACCTGTTTAAAGATATGAAGAGAATTGAAGATGGTAATGTGTCTTTTGGAAATGCATCGAAAGTGAAGGTCGAAGGAAAGGGCACAATCAGTTACTTGCATAAGGATGGCTTGATTGGATCAATCGAAGACGTTTACCATGTACTAGATCTCAAGACCAACCAATTGAGTCTGGGACAACTTACAGAAAAAGGTGCTTCGATACTTATGAAAGATCGAACACTGCATCTGAAGGACAAAGTAGGACATCTGATTGCCCGTGTCGAAATGGAAAGAAATCGAATGTACAAACTGAACCTGAGGAACGTTCGAGAGAAATGTCTGCAAATCAAAGTGCAAGACAAAGCGTCACTATGGCATATGCGCTTTGATCATCTACATCATGCTGGTTTGAGAAGGTTGGCGAAAAAGAACATGGTGCATGGACTACCAGACATGGATTTCGAAGGAAAGTTGTGTGAAGATTGTGTGCTCAGCAAACAAAGAAGAACCTCATTTCAAAAGAAGGCAGAGTATCAAGCTAAACATATTCTTGAATTGATACATACTGACATATGTGGGCCAATCACTCCAGAATCCTTCAGTGGAAAAAGGTACTTCATTTCTTTTATTGATGACTTCTCAAGAAAAACCTGGGTTTATTTCCTGAAAGAAAAATCTGAAGCATTAGAGGTGTTCAAAAAGTTCAAAGTAATGGTGAAGAAGGCAACAGATGGACACATCAAAGAAATTTGATCTGACAGAGGAGGTGAGTATACTTCGATGGCCTTTGTGAATTACTGTGAAGAACAGGGCATAAGGAGATTCTTAACTGCACCATATTCACCTCAGCAAAATGGTGTGGCTGAAAGGAAGAATCAAACTATTCTTGACATGATTCGATCAATGCTCAAAAGCAAGAACACGTCGAAAGAATTCTGGGCAAAAGAAGTACAATGTGCTATTTATGTTCAGAATAGATGTCCATATTCTAAGTTAGAAGACAAAACACAACAAGAAGCATGGAGTGGACAAAAGCCAACAGTTTCTCATCTCAAGGTATTTGGTAGTGTAGCTTATGCACATGTACCAGATCAACGAAGAACAAATCTCGAAGACAAAAGTCAGAAGTACATATTCATTGGATATGATGAGAAGACGAAAGGGTACAAGCTCTTCGATCCCATAAGCAAGAAAGTGATCGTGAGTAGAGACGTTCAAATAAATGAAGCAAGCAAGTGGGACTGGAAAAATTCGACAGAGGTTATTGACGCAGTCGAAGAAACAACTGTAGTTGTACCAACAAGTATTCCAACAGAACATGAAGAAATTGAAGATGAACCTCTACAACCCTGAATAATAAGTTTGCAAGATTTATATGATTCAACAAGTGAGGTGCATCTTGTGTGCCTTCTGGAAGATTTTGAAAACATCAGTGTCGAAGAAGCGTTACGAGACAAGAAGTGGAAAAGTGCCATGGACGAAGAGATTAGAGCAATCGAACGCAACAACACTTGGGAGCTAGTCGAATTTCCAAAAGGTAGTCAACCCATTGGTGTAAAATGGGTATTTAAGAAAAAGATGAATGCTCAAGGAGAAATCAAAAGATTTAAAGCACGACTGGTTGCGAAGGGATACAAACAGAAAGTAGGAATTGACTATGAAGAAGTGTTTGCGCCTGTTGCAAGAATGGAGACAATTCGATTACTCATTTCTCAAGCTTCTCAATTAAAATGGCCAATATTTCAAATGGATGTCAAGACAACATTTTTGAATGGCGTGCTCGAAGAAGAAATCTATGTCGAACAAACACTTGGTTATATGAGAATTGGAGAAGAGAAGAAGGTGTTGAAATTGAAGAAAGCATTGTATGGTCTAAAGCAAGCACCTAGGGCATGGAACACACGCATTGACACATATTTCAAAGAGAATGGGTTCGAGCAATGTCCTTATGAACCTGCCCTCTATGTGAAGAAAAATGGAAGTAATGTATTACTTATTGCTCTCTATGTTGATGATCTTATTTTCCTAGGCAGTGATGTTTATATGATAGAAGATTTCAAGAGAACCATGACAAGCGAATTCGAAATGACAGACTTAGGTCTGATGAGATTCTTTCTTGGTCTGGAGGTTCGACAAGAAGAAGCTGGAATCTTTATCTCACAAGAAAAATATGCAAAGGAAATCCTAGAAAAATATAAGATGAAGAATTGCAATCCAACTTTGACGCCAATGGAACCAGGTGCAAAATTGTCAAAGTTTGATGGAGGAGAACAGGTTGAAGGAAGCAAATATCGAAGATTGGTAGGTAGCCTTCGATATCTCACATGCACAAGGCCAGACATTTCACTAAGTGTTTGTATTGTAAGTCGATTCTTGGAGGAGCCAGTACACACACATTGGAAGGTGTAACACCCATACTTTAATTAATTATTTAATTAAATTATTTTGGATTATTTGTTGAAGTTGTGAGATGTGTGAATTGTTGGTATAAGTTGTTAGATTATTATTAATTAATTAAGTAGTTGATTAATAATAATAATAATGTTGGAATTAATAGAATAATATAAGACTAAGTTGTTGGACCTATTTTATATGGTGGTATGTTGTACTAAGGGGGTGTGAGAATTAAGCCCAAGAGAAATAATTCTATTATTATTGAGAAATTAGATGTGACAGTAAGGAGAATAGGTTTTGTCAAAAGGAAGAAGAATAAGGGTTGGAAGGGAGAAAGAGAACGTGAAAGTTGCAGAAAAGAAGGAAAAGAGCAAAACAGAATTCAACTGGAAAAGTTGTAGAACAACCTTCAATCCAAGGTAAGGATGAGGTTCTGACTCTATAATAGGGTTTATGATGATTAGTATGTGGGATTAGATGTGAAAAGTTGTCTTGTTTATGATTGGAATGTATATATTGTTGTTTGATGAAGATCAATGATTTAGAGATGAATAATGATGCCCTAATATTGTATAATTGATGTAGAAACATAGGATTATTATAATTAATGATTACCTATAATTAGAGGATGTATTTAGGGCCTAAGGCAGGTAAATCACAGTGAAAACACAGTGAAATCTCAGAAAATATTCATGACAGAACAGTATGCGTCGACCTCAAAAGCCATGAGTTGATACATGCAGATTTTTGGACTCAGGATGAGTTGATACGAAGAAGCATGCGTCGATACATGCGGTGTTGCAGACTCAGTATGAGTCGATACAAAGGGATTATGCTTCGACTTATGCAGGAATTATAACCCAGTACGCGTCGACTCAAAACATTATGCGTCGACTCATGTAGTCTGATTTTTGATAGATTCTTCCAAAGGTTGTAACTTGAGTTTCCGGACTCCGTTTGAGGTGTCGTTCGAAGCGCTGGATAGCTAACATGATG